ATTTATGTACCTCGTCCACGATGATCGTGCACAGTGTGTCTTGGTGGTCTAATAAAACGTCGACGACGATCGTGGACAGTCTCTCTTGGTGGTTTAGTAAAGGCCTTAACAAGTACTTTGTGTGTTCCAATGTTGCTCCCACTAAGTTCCTCCGCCTTCTCTGCTGCGTCAAATCCCCTAATAGTGACCGAAGTGGATCTGTAAGAAATCAACAAAAACAAGTCTTTAGTGGGCATTTAAAAACTTGAAAGTTGGGAAGAATGGTAGGAGGAAGAAGCCACGAACCCTTTGTAGATAGAGACTCTCAAGACCTTTCCACATGAAGAGAAAAGGTGACGCAAAGCCGTCTCGATCTCAGAATCACTAAGCGAAGTGGCATATCCTTCAACATGTACCGAAACAGGGCTGCAATATATAATAGGATTGCAGGAGATTATCAAGACATGCAAGAAGGCACAAATAAAAATGAAATTGAAGAGATTTACTTATCGTCATGAAACGGATAGGGCTCAACACAGACTTTGGACCCTCCCACGTCACTTCCATTAAGTTTCAAGGCCTTGTCTACTGCGCCCTCCCCCACAAAATAAATATATGCAAGACGCGACTTCTTTTGAATATAAACATCAGTGATCTTTCCACACGAAGCGAAATGTTCTCTCAACGCACTCTTGATATCCGCCCCAGTGTCAAATCCGGTAACGGAAATTCTCCCAATGTCACTGAAATGATTTGATTAATAATATTATCAACGTGACAAGAACAAGAAAAAGACTTTTTTTCAATTTACCGGGCTTTTGGAATGGCTGCATCACTATGTAGCTTGACAGGTCCGTCTGGGAACCACAAGGCAGTTTCCTTGATAGCACTCTCCAATGAATCACTTACATGGATCAGGTTGCTGCCAATGTCAGAAGCTGTAGGGATTGTCTTTCTTCCAACGGAAACAACGTTAGTCCCCTCCCAGATCATTGCAACGACTGGGCCAGAGATTAGGTAGTCAACAAGGCGACTGAAGAGGGGATTGGCAGACAAGTCTTGGTGGTGTTTCTCAGCAAAAGAGCGGTCCACAGTGATCATCTTTAGACCTGTCCATACCACAAATTGAATGATATGAAGCTGTCAATTGTCTTAATTTAAGCTAATGAGCAAATAGAGTATCGGTCGGATATTACCTTTCAAAGTGAAGCCCTTCCTATCGAACCTGCGGATGATGACACCGACCTGAATTACAACAACAAAAATTGTCAAGCCTGGAGACAGTGTACACAAAGGAGGATGGAAACGTACAAGACCCCTGTCGACGCCGTCGGGCTTGATCAGGATGAAAGTTTGTCCCATTCTGTTGCCGTCGGCGATAGTATCCACAGGGCACGGACTTTATTGAACAAAAACCCTCCCTCTTCTGGGCCTATGGGCCTTTCCCGTCTTCAAGGCCCATCTTTTTTTCATATCCAAGTTCAAAATTCATCAACGGAATATCTAAACCATATATTTCTATACTCTACCAACGGAATATCTAAAAAAAAAAA